TTGCCGAAAGGACCCCCTTAATTGTCAAGAATAACTGGTTCTTTGCGTCACATCAACTCTTTCCTCGCATAATGTTGCTTGTTTTATAAAAAATAAGAATAAACTAACAATGGAAAGTGCATAAAGTTGTAGGATTTCTAAGGAAATCGGCAAGTCAACTCAAAAGTAAGCGCTTTAGTCAGATAGTATAGATCTCTTACTTTGAGAACTGTTCTTTTGGGAAACCGATATCGCCCGTTAGAGGATTCTGTGGGACTTTAACGGTATACAGTCCTCAGAAATACAGTCCTGGCGACGGGCGTAAGTGTAATCCTCAGCCCGTATTAAAGTGAGGTCGAACCGATTAAGTATGCTGCCGTTCCAGCCAGCATTTTTTCAGGTATTTTAGGCATCTTTCGGGCGTTAGATATGCACCGAAAAAACTAGAGTGGATAGCAAACACTCGTGCTCCGTAGAACTCTTCCAGTTCACTATTATGCTGTGACTCACCGTACACCACTGGGCCACCTGCTTGGTTAGTGACGCGCACCTACTCGGGCGTGTAGTATTCATGTTAAACTCACTTTTAGTTGACACAGCTGTTGTTGAAAGAACCATAAAATGGCAGAGAACGGAACTCTGAAACATGACTGTACGTCCCCTAGGGATTCATGTACGCTTCCTTTTGTATTCGCACAGGTGACAAACCCCGTCCTAACGTTAGGGGTCGAAATGCCAGAGGTATAACATGGCCAGGTCTGTTTCTTGTGACCGGTTTATGGGTCACGCCCGGTAAACGTACACAGAGGCCTAAGCTCTTGGGTGTGCGTACCACCACAAGCTCCAGTGACTCACTTCCGAAGTACCGGTGTTCGCACAAAAGTGGGCTTCTGTTCAGAGAAGTAAGTACGCTCATTTTGGCCCGCATTTGACATTAAGCCACCGGAAAAATGAGAAAAGCGCTCAAAATCAGGGTCAACACAATGCGGTTGTGTTTCCTAAGACGCAAGCTTGCTTTCCTAAATTCCCTTTTGATTATCTCTCAGTGCTGTCTTAGACGGCACGATACGTCTAATCAGTTCATCTGCCAAATTCCTCGTAAAGGACGCATGAGCCATCATATCAGCATTCCGGGATGCTAAACGCTTTGACCTGAACTCGAATGCCGTCAGGACCAGCATTCTGCAGACGTACAAATTAGTAACAATTCTTGCGAAAGATTTTCGCATTCTTACTTCATCGGGAACGATCTTCAGAACTGGTGGCGTAAAAGCTGCTTTTACTTTACGGGGAGGTATACGCGCTGCTACGTGTCAAATCGAACCGTCTTCGTAAGTACTGAACGACCAAGCTGACAAGACCCAGCTCTTAGTACAGCATCACACAGATGTCGCCGAACACGATCGTCCACAGGGATAAATGAAATAACATGATGGTTTTGTTCGCAGTACAGTTCATAGCTTAATTTACACGTGGATAAGATTAAAAATCCTGCAGTTGCCCATATCCCTAAATGTATCTTCCAAATCTGCACGCATCGATGATGACATCGTTGAGAAGGAACTTGATGTCCGGAGCTTTATGCGACGTTTATATTGCCGCTTGTAGTTGTTGTTCCCATATAAGTTGGGCAAGAATTTCGTCGCTTATCATAATCGTCTTATCTGCACAACCGTCCTTATCTGCTGGTAGTGCCAAAGAGAGCCAACTTCAAACGTTTCATTAAGGAAGCAGTTATCCGTCGATCAGTGCCCCGATGCCGTTCCGAAATGCCTTTTATATGATCACCGTGGAACAAGAATTAGCCTACAACGACGCCTACAGACAGTTTTATTCAAAGGGAAAAGTACTAGGGAAAGCAGCAATGTTTTGCGAAACTTGTCAAATTCAGCCACCACGCACAGCCGGTTCGATGCTGGCGCCATAGTCTTATCCCTGGGAGTAAGGAAATCTTGTTTGATTGAGAAAACTGCAGGGTTAGTTGGGTTTTTATAGGGTTATCCGTTCGGTGAACTTGAGCCCGAAAGAAAGTCGAATTCCACATATCGCTGCAAAGCATTAAACTCTTATTGAAGGCAAAGTCCCACGCTCTGCTCACTACGGTTACATTCGTTGACGTTTATCAAAACGTCTGTGTGTCGAGCAAAGAAACCCACATTTTGGCCCCGGAGTATATCGTGAAATTTAACTTGCAGAACAATTCGGAGAAATAGTGTACTTAACTATCAAGGAGAACACTTTAAAGCGTCTGAGCCGCGCAGTTGGCCCCCAGCTTCTTTAGTTTTACTGGTAATATTTAAACATTGCTTTTTAAATAACGTTAAACAAGGCAAAGGGGACGAGATATTCATTTTGTTTGCCCAAAATATAGTAAATTCTGCATATTTTGCCGTCTTTGACCTGTTCGCCTGCAAATTAAGTAATCACAGATCTTGGAAAAATTAATCTTTATCCATATTAGCCTCTTCACCTACTGATAAGGGTTTGACTTCGTGCAGTGCAAATGCCGAAAACAATTCTCTGCCTCATTAAAGCTGTGGCATTTATTACGTACCCTCGGTCTCGCAAAATGTTCTGTTTTATACAATCGTAGGAAAAAGCTTCCAGGTCAACCTTATTTCTGATTGTATCTTGTATAACCTTTCCGCCGGTTTCTAAACAGCTTTGTCTTTTGCCAGGCTGGGTTTGCTCTTTCAGCTGCCTTGGTCTAAAGACTGGGTTTCCGTTCATGTATTATAGTTTAGAAAAAGAGTGAGGGAAGAAGCATTCCTGAGGCTTTTAGCAGGGTCGTGATTTCAGCATATCTTGAGTGTACCGGTTTATAACAATCACCTTGACATTTTCTATTTTTGAAGTGTTAGCCTACTTATTATTACAAGCCGCCAGTATCTTTAATTTCCAAAGAATTGTACCGAGGTGGCGTTGTAATGTTTAGAACTTTTCATAGCTTCTTATAGTCTGCGCACCAAAACACATGTTTTTAACTAAAAGCACATTCCTGTGGGAATTGTTATGATTCAAACTCGGTGAGTTATTTGCAGAATTTCCGTCGTGCTTACTAACGTTTTATCTTTGGTTTGCCGACATATGAAAATCTAATTAGCTTGGAATCAAATTTTCCTGAAAGATTTCGAGAAACATGGACTGTTTCCCTTATGATTGTTTTGGATTTCGAGCTGCGACATAACAGGCCTGCTCATCAGCAGTTACTTGACCGAATTTGCTAGCATTTAATTCAAATGTTCAAATCATTTTTCGGGCTGAGCCCATAAGTCCTCTTCTAAAGAATTGGCCACATGCTTCTACATCACTTTCGGGCGAAGCAATAACCTTTATATTGGAAATTAGCTAGAGTACAGGAATAGAAACTCCGCAGTGCAAGTGGTCTTGCGTTAAATTCCAGAGGAGGGTTAGAGTGTTAGGGCTAGTGTTACAGTTGAAGTTAGGTGCCCCCCCCTGGAATTTAGCGTATGACCACTTATAATAAGGGAGTCCTCATTTCCGTCTTCAGTCAGGAAGCGCAGCAAATAGCAGACTTTGTGGAAACCATTTACGGACAATCCCCGTTACTAATTAATTAGTCATTTTTATAGAGTGTTTTTGCAGGCGGTCAAAAAGAAGTATGTCGCACGGGGATCAATACTACAGCCCTACTTAAGTGATCTTTTTGATTCGAAAACGCATTTGAGAATTTAAGTTAACATTTCATGAGTTAGCATACCTACTGTAATTTTTAAAAAAATCCCTTCACTGAAACGCGCCTGGGGGTGAGTTCAGAACCATCTCCAGTTTTCGTATGAACACAAATGAACCATGAAGTGACTTTAAGATATCGCGTAAATGGGCTTTTTAAAACGAAATCCATTGCTGTGCTTGTCATTATTATGGCCATTTAGAAGTCCGGGGGTCGATTTATTGCGGTACGTTCTCTAAGAAAGGCTTTTCAAATAGAGGATTCGCTCACGTCAGTAATCAGTTAAAGTAGGGAATTAGTGTAGATAGAGCCTATGATATGCTTCGATAATTTGTTCTTTCAGAGCACTACATAATTAAGTCACCGGCTCCCCTACGTCATACAGCAATACTCCTGAAACAGTTGCAGTTTACAGTTCTTAAGAATGACTTAGACAAAGGTGTTTGTTATACGGATGAGGACGGGCATTGCTTAACATCAAACGTCCTTCTTTTGCGTGTTGGCCTTCCACTGTAAATTCTTTTGGCTATGTAAGACGATCGTATAACGAAATTGTCTATCAGCCTTATGTATGCTATTAGTGACGGTTCTGCATTGCTACTAAATTGGTAGTAATTTTTATATAAAAAGGCTAAATGCTTTTCAAAAACCTACACTTACTTAAATATAACTATTGGAACTTGACAGTGCTTCAGTTCGTGCAAAACTTCACGATTCGTACAATCTCACGACTGGTCTGCGTTTGTACATGATCCCATTGTCAACATGAAATATAAGTTTACTAGTCCAATTATGGTTATTTTATTGCTGGTTGACGACAATTAGCATGCTGGAAATGGCTATCGCTGTCTCCCTTGTAGCTGTTAATATATATCTTTCATCCCAAAAATATTCAAGGCCATTGACATGGGGTTCTAAAAACGCCGTATTTGTTCTTCTTATGACAAGAAAGAATACTGTATTTCGCAATCGACTACCAAGTAGCTCGCAAAACCGGCCTATTTTTCGGACCAAGGAACTCTTGTTGTGACGCCCCACAATGCTAATCAGAAGGCGACGATGCATCCAAGGATTTCGACAATTTTCGGAGCACAGTCAACGTTCAAGTGCAGAAATTTTAAAGAATTTGTTCACTTATCTGATAAGCTTGCGGCTTTCTGCATACACGCACTGGCGTATGACTAAACAAACCTTTATATCAGTATTATGAGATTAAGTATTTCGTGCAGGATTAGTACGGCACTTTTTAGAGCTAATTAAAGAGTTATTAGGAATATTACACAGCCAATATCAGTAATAGATATTTCAGTAAGTAAAGAGCATATGGCTACTTGCCTGGATCGATGGCTTCATTTTTGATTTGCTCCGCCTGGAGGACTGCGATCGGAACAAAAAGGGCAAAGGCAATAATTACGTGAATAAGTCCAGCAAAAGGTCGCAGCTGCCGCCTAAGGAATGCACAACAGCCTTCCTCAGTGTCACTGATAATAAAGGATTCAAAGTCTAGCTCAGCAAGTGAGACAGATGAGTGGGCAAGTTGCGAACGCAATCTGTCTGCACTGATGTTGTTGGAGGTCCCGCCGTTGCTGTTCGTCTCAGTATCGTTCTGTGAGAAACGTAGGACCGGTGACCGGGCTAGGAGTCCATGAAGGTGCACACAGTCCTTCCCCAGTGTGATGCAGTCGTTTGCAGCATGACCCACACGAGCGACAGCCGAGTAGATAAGGAGCGGGAACAAACCAATGACGACCACTAGGCAGACAATTTGGAAATTCAGCGGGAATTCGTAATTCCACTCCTCGCCAAATCGTGGATTGTATGCCTGAGATTTGAATTCAAGGTAGCGGCGTATGGCCAGCCAAACAAGCCAGCAGTTGGAGGTAAATAGAAAAACTGTGTACCACAATTTCCAAAGCTGATCGAAGCCACCCAGACAAAAAGTTTTTATTTGAAGACGCCATTTGGCTTCCTCACCAAGGGCGGGAGGGGAAACCGGGAAATCCCAAATACGTTTTTTCGAGTGATAGAATGCTGGGTGCGGTTCCGGTGCCATCGTTTTTCACATTTGTCCTTAATTCGTAGATTCCACGTACGGAAGTTGTTGGCTGCCTGCGGCTGTCGCTTGAGTGCAATTATTACAATTACATGGTATTCGGCTTTCTGTGCACCTATGGCCTCTCTGAAGTTAGCGGTAGCCAATAGGAAAAAGAGAAGCACTGATCACGAGTCCTAGCAACCTGATTGGTTAAAAGTGACAAAAGTTAGTCCAAGTCTGTGGACATGCTAAACGAACACGTGCTCAGACATACTGGTGAAAACAGACGACGGCTTGGACAAACACTATTTGAGGACGAAACGTTCCGCTTTGTAATGATGTTTTTTTCTTCACCAGAATGTCCGACATCGGTTGTCGCCATGTGAGTTTTTCTTTGATGACGGCTATCAACTGATGTCAAGGTAAAAGAGATATTACACTTCTGGATTCAGGATTGCACAGTTCCAAAAATTAAACTTTGCTGTTCGGCAGTCTTCTCATATACCCACAGTTAAATAAACTACGGAATCTGTCTAAGAACAAAGCAGTGGAAATAGATAAACTGATTACTGTATAATCCTGGTCGTGCATCGTGTCCGACGATGAAATTTGAGATTCGGCGCGTCAGTTGACAGCAATTTATAAATGGTTGTCCAGCCCCAGTGACATATGCATATAGAAGCAATTTAGGAAATTTTCCTGGTTCGACTGATGGAGTTGTCTAATTACCCTTTTCTCTTAGGTAGCAACCTGTACACAATGCTTCCTCTTGAAGTTTTTTGAGGAGAAGTTGCCAGGATGCATCAGAGAATGTTGGTTTATTCGACGCTTTGGGGGGATTGGTTCATTTAATTCTGTCAAACTCGGGGCTGTAAACTCCCGTGACCTTCTTCTTCTAGAGCTAACTGTGAGAATTATGCTTCTTTGGGACGAAATAAACTGTGCCGTAACGGCTCTTATCATCTGTCCACTCAAACAAATTGTACAAATGTCGGAATTTAGTTTACTAGTCTTTTTCGACATACTGCTTAAAAGGTGTATGGGACTGTAGAATAGAGGTCGTACTCATCAGTTGTCAAGGCCAGTGGATGGCGTTTCCTTAATCCACACTCACACCAGGGGAGGTTGCGGAAAGGACTTGATTCGGAAACCGCATACAACCACCTAGAGGATGCAGTCAATATTGCATTCGAACAATGGTCGTATGTCAAGAAGCATCACTGCGAATAGATCTGCCCATTTTTCAGAATATTTGAGAGCACTTAAGACAATTCTGAACCGCAACCGAGACTGCTCGACCACGCTGTTGACAGCCGCGTCGTGGGCCGCGCTATGAATTTGGTAGCATCCCAGAAAACCCGAAAATCATTCGAAGTGGATGTACTTGAAGTATGTCTGACTGCTAGTAGACCTTTTGGATGCCGCATCATAGGTAGAGAAGCAAAAATGGATGTGGGTTTTGACGATGGCCTCGACATCCAGTTTTTCCTGATTGGTTTGACTCAGGCAAATGGGTAATTTTGTTGTTGCAGGTCAGCAGGTGGAAAGAACCACTGGACAAAGTAAACCACCTACAGCACATGGGTGCCTGCGTCAAAAATGTGAGTCAAATCTTCGGAAGGTGCCGGGTAAATTCATTTTATACATATGGGCATTGTCTGATAGGAAGCCCGGACATAGTATTAAATCTTGGCATTCGTGTGCTACTTGTATTCCTGGGTAGGAGGAGTTTTTCAGACAACCAAATATATGGTCTTGCATCGAAAAACCTAGGTCTATCACATCCTCGCAAAGCCACCTGCCTTGTCCTGTTTCAGTAGTCATGTCAGTTAGATCGGTCATATGACGAGGGTGAACGACAGATATTAGCCTGCAAAATGAGCTAGCAAACTCATTAATCTCCCGGTCCATGTCTTGTAGGTGTCTGGAATGAGTCAAGTGATTTAGTCATACTTCCTGGGTTCTCACCGATTTTGTTGGTTCAAGTGAATATATACGAATATACTGTCTGCACTCTCAGTGTGCACAATGTTGTTTTTTACATAACCCTTGAATACCTCAAGAAGAGTCCATGTTCCTTAATGCCCAGTAATAGCTGTCCAGGCAGTCTAAATGAAATTGGGATAGTGTTGGGGGCCATTTTTTATTGCCGGGTTTTCTAGCATTTTAGTTGAAAACCATTAAAATCAACGTAATAAATGCGTACTTATTTCATCTACCAAATCTAATAATCCCGAATATAATTCATAAGTAGTCATCGTCGCCGCCATAGTCCAAACATGAATATTAATATAAAGCCCATTTGCGGGTTTTACTCATTTTCAACTCCAGCAGATACGAGGAATTCGACCGATTTATTGATTTCGCACTGCTTTCAGTGTAATTATGGTTTCTGGTATTATAATAGATATCACACTCAGCTTCCTAATTTCATCAGTCATTAATAGACACTTTTTGAGAAAAATTTTGGGTTCACCCCAAATTATTTAACTCAATTAACCGCTAGATCGCAGTTGGCAGCCAGGACCCGTATAACAGGGTGCTGGGTGGTTTGTTTACTGGGGCAATTTTTTGGAGTTCCATAATCACATCTGACCCATTTGGCTTCCATTTTACGTCTGAGGTTAGGAGTAGGGTACCGGTTAATGGTTTCCGATTTTCGGGTTAGAGTTATGCCTTTAGGCCTTGGTTTTCGTGTTACGGTTAGGTTTTGAGCTTACGATTAGGTTCCAGTATTGCGTTTAGGTTTTCCAGTTACGGCTTAGTCTAAGGGCAACGGTTACGTTTACGATTTCGGTTAGGGTTTAGGTTAGGGTTGCCGTTAAGGTTAACGGTTTACGTTTAAGGTTGAGGTTAGGGTTAGGGTTAAGGTCGCCGTCCGCTTCCCATTCCTGGCTACCAACTGCGATCTAACCCAGTTAACATTAGAAAGCACACTGAGAGGACCGTGGGAATTAATCTAACTTGTATCGGTTATAATCGGCAGTGATTTGAACGACACCAAAAATCAGTGATGTCTATGTCATGAAATCACCGAATATATTTTAAGCGATCGCCGTTCAAGTCTTATGTAATTCTCGAATTTTGAAGGCCATCAGGCACAGCGCCCTTTACATGTCAAAATTAAGCATATATTAAGGTTGGCCTGGCTCGCTGAAGCAGGTGGGCTAATTTTGAACGGGGTCCAAAGTTAGGCTGTGGATTGGGTCCTCTTCGTGTCAACGGAGTACGTAGCTGAAATACCCGAGAAGACACTCAGTAACACAGGAGTAGCAGGAGTTGCCACGAGCGGTTGTAAGGACCCCATCTTCGTGACGTCTATGAGCCGGGGTTGCAGTCTTTACCTGACAAACATCGATTTTTTCACGCCGTTAAAGTGGTGATATTAAGTTTATCAGTCGAGGGGCAGAAAGGCTTTGACCAAAGCCTAAAGCCCCCATCCTTCTATCTGCATCTGAATACCATAGTGAGCGAACGGGCTTTCCGAATCAGCCGCCCACGTGGCAGACATGGCACTGGCACCTCTGTAACAGTGGAACAAGGATAGACAGAACGACCGACCAGCTCAAGCCCCTTGCAATCCGTGGGAGAGGACAGTTCGTGTCTTGTTAAGTGGACGAAATTTACTTGAATCTCAGTAGCATTGCTTTTTCGTCTGAATTTGCAGGAGGCAACAATAGATTGTCGAAGGGCGGATCGTATTTTGTTGTGAAGGTACACAACGTCCTTGCATAGTCAGAACACGGACTGAATGCCACTGTCACATCAGGGGAGCACTATACATAGGGTAGCATTTTTCAGGTTGTTAAGGCGGTTTGTGGAGAGGACACGGCCTTTTTGAAGGCCCGTGCTAGCGACGAATTTGTCGCTTCTCTCGCCGTACACTCAAAGATCGATGAACCAGACATAGATTCCTCTGAGGAAAATGAATTGCTCACCGGATCAGGTGACTTTTCTGGCTGACGATTTTTCTTACAGCTAACGTTGAGCCACTCTGCGTTTCAAACTCATTTTCTACCAAGATCAGTTTTGGCCGACCTCCGCCGGCTGTGCTATCTGACAACGCATGACTCTGAACGTGGAGATTTCAGCAGTTCGGAAGAGTGAAGCATCCTTGGCACTCGAATGGTACTTATAGAAATCTAATCTTTGGGGTTTACTGCTTTTGTCGCCTAGCTGATTAATTGAAGTGTTAGTCTCGAAGAAGGAGACACGATCGCCGGGACAAGAGCTTTATTAGCCTGACGTTTTGGATTCCTACTCGAATCCATCATCAGAGACAAAGAAGCAGAAACGGATGGTTGTTGCACAAGGGGCTGCGGTATTTATAGGATGTAGTAGCCACGCTACCGCATACCTATGAGCATTCACGGCTCCCCCCTTCATCCGGGATCGTCGCACTTGGTGTGATCATTGCTTGATGGCCGACATTCGAGTCGATAATTGCTGCAATTTCATCACGTGCGTTGGATGTTGGCGTGATGATTGCTCGACCATCTGACGCACCGACCTCGGTGTCGGGAAAAGTGTTCACCTCTGCCCTCTCCGCATGGCTTGTTACTCCGCCTAGGCGAAGTCTCAGCACCGAGTATGAAGTCGGAAGATCGTTGCACTTGTTGATGGACTGGGGGCCAGTAAACCATGATTCCAGTAGCTCCCGGCTCACGCGGTTGTCACCTCTAGCGAGAATTTCGGCCTCATCGAATTTAAATGTGTGGCCGGGTCTCGTCGAATGAGCCGCAACTTGAGAGCTGGCGTCATTTCTGCGCACCGCTGCCGCGTGTTCGGCCATTCTCCTTCGGAGCTGTCTTCCGGTTTCTCCGACGTAGTTGCTTTGTCCGCACCTGCACCAGATCCGATAAACGACTCCAGACGTTTCTATCCGTGGCAGTGGGTCTTTCGGTTTCATGACCAGACGCCTGATGGTTGCCTCCGGTCTGTGTGCCACTCCAACCCCAAGTGGTGCGAGAAGGTGGCCGACAGCTTCCGAAACGTTCTTGACATACGGAAGTGCCCGGCAAGATTTGGTGTCCGTGTGGTTAGGCCTTTCGTCCCTTTTGCGTATGCACCGATCGACGAAGTTGCGCGGGTAGCCACTGGCTTTGAAGACCCGTCGCAGGTATTGTAGTTCGGCAATTTTGTTTTCCGGCTCACTGCAGTGCGTTTTGACACGCCGATAGAGCGTCCTTACACAACTGCGTTTGTGGCTGATTGGGTGGTTACTGTTGAAGTTCAGTATTTGCATCGTATTTGTCGCTTTCCTAAACACTTTGGTTTTTAGTTCACCACAATCTTTGCGGCATACGAGGACATCCAGGAAGGCCAACTGGTTGTTCTCTTCCTCCTTTATCGTAAATTGAATGTCCGGGAAGACGGCGTTGAGATGTTCTTGGAATGTCAACACTTGATCCCGTTCGATGATGACGAAATTATCATCCACATACCGGGCCCAGAATTTCGGTTTGTGGTGTTGGAAGACCAGCAACTCTAACCGTTGCAGGACCGCCTCGACGATGAATCCCGAAATCGGCGAACCCATTGGTGTGCCCTTCACCTGTTCGTAGATTGTCCCGTCGACCGTGAAGTACGTCCTGAGACAGAGCTTCAGGAGCTGAAGGATTTGGGCGTGTCCAAGACGGTTCTCCGTTTCATCGTATTTGCTTTGTAGTAGCAGCTCCATTGTCTCGATCGTCAGGTCCTGAGGAATAGAAGTAAAAAGGGATGTAACATCAAAAGATACCATGAACTCATTTGGATGGATGCTTACCCCTTTGAGTTTCTCCAGGAATTGTGCTGACGAAGAGACAGTGGTGTCTGCCTCAGCGGTCAGGAACTGAAGTTTCAGTGACGGCATCCCTGAAAAGAGCCCAATCCTCTCTTAGGCACTTCAACTGTCTCCCTTGGCATCACTTGCTGAACGACAATCGAGGAACATAATTGGTAAGGATCGGGTGAAGGATCCCACGCATATTTGGCATACAAGGAGTACCTACTATAGTTATTTACGTGGGTTTTAGTCCGACACGATTATTTCGGTTTGGTGTTTCATCGTTCAAGGATGGGTCGTCTGTTGTAGACGGTCTGGTGAATTATTTACAATGAACTCAGCTCAGAGATTTGAGAAGCGATCGTTGTAGACACTTAATAATTATTGCTTTAATTGTCCTGCTTAATTTCAGTTGTTATATGTCGGTGCATTAAAACTTCTGTAGTAATTATCTATACTTATTCTGCCATTCCTCTAAGCATGCATAAGCCCCGCCCCTAAAACACCTATTAACACCCTTCCAGTAAGACAGGCACCTTTGGCTGGTCGTGTGTGTTTAGGGTCCTTCACCTGATCGTTGATCCGTAATTAACCAGCACTTGCTCATAAGAATTTGACAGATCAATGCGTCGTCCCTCCCGTCAGTTGAACACTAGGCGTGCATGGCTTTTCCAGGCTCTGAAACCTGATTTCAACCGCACGTAATCTACCGTCTTCATTGATATCCTGAAATACATCTCTACTGTTATATCACCTGAATAGAGCAAACTTCCTGAGAAGGTTTCAGTTCGTAGGTTTGCTCTGTCGATGGGAGTATAGAATGCTAACAAAATTTTGGATCTGGCTTGAGGACAGAGAAAGCAGAATTCAACGGACGGCGTTTTGGGTCCCCCCCCCTTTATCGTCGTCGTTACTGATGAGCATTGGACATATAGAGAGCTAGTTGGTATCTGCTGTCATTCAGCTTTGTGCCGTAGGTATGAGGAAAGGATAGGGGCCACTTATCACAAGCAACTCACTCGTTTTCGATGTGCTGCGGAAGCACAGCCATTTCATGAAAATGACTGTTATAAAGGTCGTAGACAGCGTCACATCCTAGCAGTTTTGCTTCCTAAACGCCGGACTCAAGTGGCCGAACCCCTGACAGGTAGGCAACATCAATGTGTTAACGGGAAGAGGAGAATGCTTAACGCACGGCACACATTAATTTTTCTCCTTTAAGGAAGACGACAGCTTGGACATCTGACATCCACTTCACTGACGGAGGCCCACAAGCGACAGTTTGCATGGGCACCGTGTCATAAGATGAAAACAGCAGTTCACGATCCATTGTGCAGATTCTAGGGATCGTGCAGCACGAGACGGTCCTAAGCTCGCGCGGCGTATGCGCGAACCATAATCGCTAAGGCGACGGTGGCAGATGGAATCTTCTACGGAGAACGAGCAGCATTCGTCAAGGCGTCACGCAGTCTGACTATTCGACGTTTTATGGATTATCGGCCTGCCAGATCGGTGCCAAGCCAAGCCCGAAAGTATTACTTCTGCATGATCCATAACCGCTTGACCATTAAGTTCGAGGGCCCGCATATTTCATAGCAAGTCTTCTTTGGGGTTCACTCCACCATTAGTGTACGCGCCGTTTGACAGGTAGCGTCTTTTTACGGAAGGAGCCTTCTCACTCCATTCAGGACCGGATTTTCATTACAGACTAGAGACAATAGCTCTCCACCACTCGAGGGGAGCTGAAAACCATTTGCCGTAGAACAACGCTTCAAGGTAAGAAAAGTGCTTTGGAGAAACCGGAGGATTGCTCTTCATATAGGTGACAGAACACGTATCAACTATGGGGGTTGACGTCATTTCCAAACCCCCGGTCTACTCGGCATGACCACCAGACGGCGCCTTTTAATCTGGCACAGGGGACGGCAGTCATGTGAATCAGTGGTCTGGAAGTGGATGGATAAACTTGATCATCTGCCACAGTCTAAACTTTGTTAAGGTCCTATCTTTGAAGACGAATTTCTCATGCGAGAGCTGTTCGTACAAAGGATATTAGTACTGAGGAACAGGACTAGCAAGTCATGCTCCTCGCTAACATCGATAATTAAGACTGGACGAGCACTACCTCTGATGTGTCCGCAAAGCAGTTATCGCAGTGACAGAGAGTTTCTTCGGCGAATGCCCAGCAATAGGTGAGTCGCACGAGCCATGACAACTAATGGGTATGGATTTGTATGCTAATACCATCCGCGAACAGCTGTACCCTACGTACGTTTGCATCCATCTCTTTTTGTGTTTTTGACACGGTCGTGTTAAACTCGAAAAATTCAGGACATTAAAGTTCCAGTTCCAGCAGTCGAGACAGATTCTACCCAGTCACCACCTGCAACTCACCCTTTTGTGTGTCTTAAATATGCAATTTTAATGCGAATGGTTAAAAAGTAACATTTCACGTCTGCACTCAGTACGATAATGGCAATATAAATATGGCATGCCTTCTCAGGTAGGCACAGTACTGACCAAAATCACCGCCTTTAGGTTCTCCTCATAGGCCTCTTGGTCTTTTTGTTAACTTTATAAATGTATTACGTTTGGGGACACTGCTACTGTCTACGATGGTGCAGATGCTCGATGCCCAAAAAACCATCATTTTCACACGTTTTAGAACATTATGCAGCTGACTGTCATTTGCAATATGCTCATCGGTCGATGGGAGACAACCTATAACTGAGGCAGTTCTTATCAGCCCCTCCATCGTAAGAGGCTTCTGCTAGCTCATTCCTGGGATATTTCGAACTCTTTCTTTGTTTTAACTTTGGTCGCCTAACTTAACTGTTGGTGATACAGGTGTTTGCGGTTACTTCACCCGCCAGCGCACAATTATCTCCTGCACTGCGATCTGAAGTCCACTTGGTTGATGAGTTGTAATGGTTCTGAGGCCGAAAATGCCCGTATTAAAGCCATTCCCCCAATCCATCGATATCAGACGATCGATCGCTTTGGCAAATGCTCAAAAAGGGCTGGCACAGACTGCCCTGAGCATAGCGCGTACACTTCAAAAGAACACAGTTTCCATACATGAACTAATCTGTCTACAATGTGTGGAAAGTCTGACTCTGAAAATCCAACAGTCCGCATTTGTCGTTTCCAATGCTGCACACTTCACAACAAACAAGTTTCTTTTCTTCGGATTCATCGTTATAAATCTTATTTTCCAGAATAATAAAGAACTCCGATATGTAAAGTATAGGTCATATCAGCCCGAACAGGTTATATACAATTGTCCCCCTATAGCTACTACATCTCCAATAAGTTGGTTAAATCCATTCTGACTTCCTTTCCTGCAGAAATCAGAAAAGTGGTTGTATCTTTCAGCATGAAGATGACTTATCTCCCAGTGGTACGCCTCAAAATGGCCTTCATGGGCTCGGTAACGGCGGCGTTGATGATCCACAGAGTTTTAATGTTAAATAATGTCAGGCTTGAACCGTACACATCCTCGGATCGGGTATAGGAGTTAGAGGCTTTGGGGTGATTTTAAAAGCCGAATGCTTAACCAATCAATTACTGGTGTTTCTTATTGATTGGTCTTAGTTTTATTCACATGCACTACATGCGCCACCATCGAAAACAAGTCCGCTATTGTTCTAACAGGATATCATGCACGATTTTCCGTGGTCCTTACATACCGCATTTCGAGGACTAATTCATTTTTCAAAAAACAAACGATATTTTTATCTTATTTTCCTTCTAAGAAAAAGACACAAGCAAAGGAGGTTATTCCAAAGAAATTTAAGAGGACCAGCTTTTTTAACGAGTCAGTGCGGAATCTCACCAAGCCTCAGACTAGTCCCATAAGTAGAATTAACACATCTACTACGAAATTGAAGCTCCCGGACTTACGTTTTCTGTGCAGGTTCATGAAAATGGTCGTTATTTAGAGGTAGACGGTCGGTCAATTTCAATGGACGATTGTGACAATCAGTTGCGATCGCTCATCCGTCACAAAAGGCGGTGACTACCAGTGCTATAGGGGAGCGAGGGTATCTTGAGCCTGTATTGACATAGAACGGACAGGACTTTCGCAGCATACATCTCACTCCCCCCTCCCAAGCGCCGAAAATAAAATAGGTCGGAAAGCCAGCACAGTCGTTGGCGAATAAAGTAGACTTCAAAAGACCTATATTAGAACTGTCTGCGTTATTCTGTTATTACATGCGAGTCGTTTTTTACAAACTTAATAAAAGCCTGCTTATCCACTTACAGATTTTAATTACGTAAGCGAAGAGCCAGAAATTTTTCTTGACTTATGAAACAAAACACGCGGTTTTTGAACGATAGTCACAAGAGCGCCTACTTACAAACTAAAACATGTACTGAAAGTATACCGTTTCGTAACACATCAAGAAGTACAATTTGCTGCTGAAGATATTTTTCGTTGAGCTGACGTCAAAGACAATCTCGCCGTAATGTATGCATAGGTTCAGTTTTGGGTAGGTGACCGTTCCTGATGGGAATTCGGTGGCCTTATGTAAAATATTCGAGGAATTGCTCTTTGGCACGTACTCAAATAGGGTGACATAAATTTGGACATTTAATGGCTGAGGAACTAATTCTTGAAAATGCAGAGGAAAAAAGCAGTGATCTGATTTTCCCGGGAGAGAATTTTACTATTCATTCAGTTTTGTTTGGGTCAGTCACCCATCAGGTAAGAAGTTGATGATGCTTCGAAGTGGGGCACAATTTTGTGGATTTTACAGCCACTATTGCGCTGAATGACAGAGCTAGAAGACAATTATACGAAGGCAAATAATTACTACTTAATTGTTACAAGTAGAAAGATATTCAGCGAAGTAGGTCGTCGCGAAAGCATAGGCGTCGCCTTTGATTAAAGTATATTGAGACGGCTTAGGACTGAAAACCCTCCAGAGTACGATAAATGTTGCATAAGAAATGATGCCTTGTGCACAATAAAGGCGATTTCTATTAAGTTTGATTCATGCACAGAAAAGTGAACTGGAAGTCCCTTCTCTAATAGAAAAAAGGGCAGATTGTAGTTTTGCCACTTCACTTAGTTTCTTTAGTAT